TCGGTTCACTTTCAAGCAGCTCGGAGTAAGGCACAGCCGGCTCGGCTTGAGGAGGCGCTTGCTCGATCACAACTCCATCGTGAGGTATCGCGGGCTTGCGGCCCTGCACCTTAGACCTTCCGGTGGCACCAGTGAGAAAGGAACCATGCTTCCAAGTGGGGTCCTTAAGAACGTCGGGACTTAGGGGCTCAAAGGACTCAGACAGCCTACGCGCAGTGCGACTCAGCATGAGCCGTCCGGCAGCAGTCACTGACACCCACTGATCAGAAGACGGAAGCTTCCCTAGCATCATAGCTTGAAGGAATCTGGCTTGTCCCTTGGGAGCCTGCTTGACAAGCACCATGCATGTCTCGGCGAATGGCAGAACAGGTCCTTTGTATGGCCTTCCAGTTGCCGCTTCGTAGGAGGTTATACCCCCAGCTTGCACCGAAAATCGGTTGACGAGCCAGGCCGCATGGCGGTAAGCCCAAGAGTAAAGCGGGTGATTCGTCAGGATCTTGGACTTTGTGCGCCGTTCGAACGCGGCCAAGATGGTACCAGCCTGGGCACGCAGAACATGAACCGTGGACTCGGCCCCGCCATTCGCGGCATGATCTTCCTCAGCTACTTGGCCGGTGACGGTACGCAGACCGACACGCTGACGGACCTTGGCAATCTCTTGCTGAAGACTAAGACAAGTCTGTTCAGGATCAGAGCGCAGCCGCACATTGCGATACCCAAGAAAAGATAACAGCCGGCAGACTTCGGCGGTCAAGTATGCTTGCACGTGCAGGCCGCCATGGACTCCACCCTTTCCTGGAACAGCTATTGCCTCCCTCCAGCCGGTGACGGAGTCATGGAGGAACAAACAGCACAGCTTTTGCCGTCCATCGTCATCACGGCTTGAGAAGCCGAAATCAAAGCTGATAGTTGGGATTCGCTCAGCAGGGTCGGTCGGATGATGCGCATTGTCTCTGGCCTTGTGTGCAACACACACCTCGCACCACGGAGCGTAGGGTAAATGCGTTGCTTCATGCTGGCGGCGAGCTTCGGGAGACGGCTCGGCCGGCTGACTCGGAACAATCACCTCAGGAATTGACTCAGCATGAACCGCAGCACTCGCAGCAACTTTCATCTGCCGAAGGCGTTCAACAAGACGCTTGAAAACCGTAGCACGGCTCCCAGACTTTCCAACTTGCAAGCTTTGGCAGGCGGCTCGCAGCGTCCGCAAGTTTGTTTCAGCCGTCAACACAACATCATCAATGGTGATTGACTCAGGCAGCTCACCAGCATGGTCGTGAATGGCATCTTGCATCACAGCCTCAGCTTGGCCACCGTGTTGGGGACCGGCAAGTGCCGCATCCGCAACACCTTCAACCTCAACACCCGGCACCTCATCTGCATCAAGGTTTGGTGCAACATCCTCAGCATGGCCTGGTGGAACACCGGCTGGATCAGCAAGGCCTGGTGGAACACCAGCTGGAGCGGGCACGGATGCCTCTGCACCAGCTGGGGGTGCAGCATACTCAAAGCCAAGCTCACCAGGAGTAAGGACAGTTCGGTGCCCAAAGACCACACAGTCGAAAGGATGATTGGGTCGTGTCGCATCGATCACACGGTCAAGCTTACCTTGCTCAAGCAGCTCAAGAGGCTCCGACAACTCAAGCAGATGCCATGGTTCAGTCTCGGACTTCCGCACAATGGTGGTCCGGTAGCACAGCCCTTCGTACGGCTCAAGCATTGTGATGTCGGGAAATCGCGAAGTAAGCAACCGAAGCCCAAACACACCCGGAGTGACCTCAGACATGTAGTCACAGGTATCAAGGCATCGAAGCATAAAGGGACTGACAGTCACTTCAACATCCGAAGAAGACACAACCCGAATAACACCTCGGCACATCAAGCTGTTCTGTTCAAAGTGCAGTGGCACACATGCATCGCCGTCGGGCGACATCAGCTGCATGTCAACGATACGCCAGCCTCGGCGCAACAATTTGCCAACAGCGAAAATCGGCTGACTCACGGGGCTAATCACCCACGACTCGCGAAAGCTGGCGGTGCCGCTGTCAAGGACAGCCAACCTGGTACCGCGGGTGGTCATCGGGTGACCCTGAGCATCCTGAAGGGTGCGGCTGGCTCCACCGGGGAAGCCAATCTCACTCATATTGTAAGGAATGCAGCTTTCGTCAGCACAAGAATCAACGCAAATGTCAAGTTCACGCTCGTGGCACACAGCTCGGACACTCGGCAGGGGGGCCTCAGCACAGGCCGTGCAGTTGAAAGCCCTGGTCCACTCACCATCCTCGTCACTGTAGGTGAGGTCGAAATGCAGCGGCTCAGGGGCCGTCACCATATCATCAACATGATCTGCACAAGTCATGTCGAACCACTCAGGACTGGCACAAGTAGAAATCTTGCGAATGACAGCATGGCTAGAAGCGGAAGGCACAGCACAGTCAGGCGTGGTAAGATCAAATGCAATGCGTCGCACAGTGGCATTGGCGCTGTTGTTGTCAGTGGATGAAGTGGCCTTGGAGTTGTCGTTGGATGTGGTGGCTTCAGCACCCTCAACCTGACGCACATTGCCGGCTTTCTGGTCAGCCTGAAGCTTCCGGCACTCACTCTTATAATGGCCCTTCTTCCAACAGTAGTGACAAACCACATCCTTCTTCGAAGTAGCCTGATTGGCACCCTTTGCGTTGCCTTTTCCGTCCTTCGCACCACCTTTGCCTTTGCCATCCTTTCCTTTCCCTTTGTCCTTGCCTTTGCTGTCCTTTCCTTTCCCTTTGTCCTTGCCTTTGCCGTCCTTTCCTTTTCCTTTGTCTTTGCCCTTGATACGCAAAGCATGACCCTCATCAACGTCCATGGGTGCAGCACTGCTAGAAGTGATTCCCAGATCAGCGGCGACCTTGGTCGGAGTCCATCGTGTGGTGGACACTTCATACGATATCATCATGGCACGCACCTCCTGATAAGTGGTGGTAGGGGTCATGCGTAGATGCACATGTTGGGTCAAGTAATTGGGGCAGCATCGGACAAGTATCGACAACAAAATGTCGTCGGGAACCTTGGAGCTGGACGCATCTTCGTAAGCATGCACAAGACGTTCAAAAGCAGTGATTTGCTCAAGCAAAGTCTGGCCCTTGGTGGTAAAACGGCCCTGCTGCATAATCGCTGACAACATGGCCAACGAACGACTGCGAGTCTTAGGAGAGTATGTCGTGACCAACAACCTCCAAACTTCGTAACCATTACGATCTGTCACGCTCCGAAGGATTCCAAGCGCACGACCTTTAAGCAAAGTGCTCAGGATTGTCCAGAGGCGCTTGCCACGCAGCGCACATGCCTCGGGCATCCCTGTGATGGACGTTTGCTCGTCCAAGCGCTGCTCGACTTCACGCAGTTCACTCTCGAACACAGGCTCTGCGAACTCGAGCCAGTTGCGAAATGACATGCTCCAAGAGAACCAAAGCCCACAATCCTTCTCAAAATCATCTGATCCAAAGCTCTCAGGATACTTCAAGACTTTATTTGCCAAAGTGTAATTACCCTCAAAGCTACCACTGGCCTCTCGAGGCGCTGGGGCAGCAGCACTTGTCTGAGCTTGCTGGCCAACAACTGACGCAAGCTGTGCAACCACTTGGCTTAAGACCTGAAGATCGACACTCGCAGGAGCTTGGGAGGTCATAGGCTGGGGCTGAGGTCCAAAAGGCATCTGAGGCATGCCAAAACCACTGGCCGGCGCGGCTTCAGAGCCCGCTGGAGGAGACTGCAATGGAGAGTCTGACACGGGAACATCATTGGGATTCATTGCGGGAAAATTTGCGCAGTGGTAAATCTGATTGGGCTCACACACTCCACCAGCACGGAATGGCTTAACCACTCCTACAAGCAGATGGGATTCACGGGATACAGGAACTATACTAGGGGCCTCTGTTTTCCGTAACCGTTGTGTTTAGGAAGGGCGCTGTGAGCGAAGTTTACAAAACTCAGTTCCCTCATCAGAAATTTTATTGCCCAGAAGATATATTGGGCAAACGGAAATATCGGCGAAGGCATAAATGCACCGACGGTATCCCCAGAGAATATATGGGGTATAAATTCTCATATCTTGCTTTCGCCTCTTGGGACTCCAATCAAATGTATCCTCGCCACTTAATGATGAATATCTAAAGAGATAGCAACTGCCGAAAGGAGCACGCAGGATGTTTTCAAACGGATGGCGGCAGGCTCACGCAGGCATCTATTTCTTGAACAGGTCTTTGACGTGTCGGGAAGGCGCACCTGTGTGCCTGTGCCCCCCCCGCCCACGTGGTTTGAGACCACAGTATCTACAAGGGAGTGGAGGGTGGGAATGGGAATCAAAATTTTCCCTGCTCCTGAGCCTGAGCTCTGCGTCCATGATAAGCATTGAGATTGTGCGCGCACTCAGCTTCTGGCTCCATTCTGAAAAGCGCACGATACGTAAATAAAATAGAAACTCAAAACCGCTCAATAAAACTTTTCTCTTTGAAACTGCGGAGATCTTCGAGTTGGTCCATTCGAGGGAACTCCTCCTACCCACAGAGACACCCCGCCCCGCCCACCCAAAACGTTTACTCTAAACAGCGCCGCCGGGCAAGCCCGGCAGGGCCTGTTTTCCGTAACCGTTGTGTTTAGGAAGGGCGCTGTGAGCGAAGTTTACAAAACTCAGTTCCCTCATCAGAAATTTTATTGCCCAGAAGATATATTGGGCAAACGGAAATATCGGCGAAGGTATAAATGCACCGACGGTATCCCCAGAGAATATATGGGGTATAAATTCTCATATCTTGCTTTCGCCTCTTGGGACTCCAATCAAATGTATCCTCGCCACTTAATGATGAATATCTAAAGAGATAGCAACTGCCGAAAGGAGCACGCAGGATGTTTTCAAACGGATGGCGGCAGGCTCACGCAGGCATCTATTTCTTGAACAGGTCTTTGACGTGTCGGGAAGGCGCACCTGTGTGCCTGTGCCCCCCCTTCCGCAGGCCGGCACGTCACCAAGGGGACTTCTCTCTCTTTCTCTTGCCTCTAAAGCGTGGCCTGCCACCGACCGTGTCGCGGATGGAATCCACTTCACGGCTGCTCAGCTGTGCACGCCTGGCTTCGTAAAGAGTGTGAAGAAAGGAAAGCGGCAATTCGGAGTACTGCACTGGGACCCGCAACTCCTCAGAGAAACGGTCGAAGATTTCGTTGGTTAAATCATCGGCCTCCTGATTTTCGTCCCGTGGACGCCATCCCAAGTTCAACCGCAAGCCGGCCTTCATGAGAACATGGGTGAGCTGCATGTTAACCATGAGCAAGGGCCAGCGCGTTGTAGAACCCTTGCGAGTCAAGCCCTCGTTAGACTTATTATCCGTCTGAGCTAGAACCTCAACCTTCATCAAACGCCTAGTTGGCCCGGCTTCAAGGTGACCGAAGATGTGCAGTGCAGCCAGCGTGGCCAGCAATTCAGCCGATGCCGAAGCCCACTGACTGTGACCTTCTGAGTCGAAGAGGTAAGGGGCCTCTGAGGGAGTAAGTCGAAGTGAGAACCATCTGGACTCCTGAGTTGTGCCTGCGCAATCCCAACCCCCAAGGACCACGTACCCGTCCGCGCACTTTGCATCAGTGCGGAAGGCCACGCCTTCCCTTTTGACCGATCTTGCTGCGGCGACCTTGAACGTCATGTCCCTGAACGTGAGGTCAAGATATTCAAGAGTAAGGATGACGGTGTCGGGCATCCGAGCGACTGAACTGTCGTTCACCGCTGCCCTCCAGCTGTAAAGCGGTGCAAGGTGTGCCTTAAGCCAAACCAAAAGCCGAGCGACGAAGCCCAGCCTCCCTAAGAACTCAGCAAACCTGCGAACCGAAACAACAAACTTCGAGGACCGAGCCTCAGCGATCCATTTCAAGAGCCACTGGCCCCGCGATTCGGAAATTCCGACCCTCTGGTCCGGATAAGAAAGTTCGTAACCCACAAAAGCCGAAGTGAGCCCACCGCGGAACTTCTTGTATGCGAAAGGTGTGCCAAACATCTCGAAGCATGCTAGCCACATGAGCAAATGATGAAATTTCTCCCTTCCTGCGAAGTTGGCGTGAACATCATCTACGAAGACGAGGTGATAGAACCACAATGTCAAAAGAAAGCGCGCGGTGCAGCGGCCGATGATTCCAAACAATCTGGACCAAAGGAAGGCGGATGATGATATACCGAACGTTCCTACTTTGTTGTACCAAACGACCGGCGTGTCGTTGCGCACCTTACAGCACAACAAAGGCCAGTCGGCCTCTCTGACAAGGAACAACCTGTGAGCCGCCGTCACATCGCCGGTGAGGCAAAAGGTGGCCTCCTGACTTTGCTTTGCGCTGCGCACAAGGTGAACTACCTCCTGGGGTCCGGGATTGGATTGCTGATTAAGTAGCCTAATACCATTGTTGACATGCACACCGTGGGTGCCATCGTGTAATGGCCGAGCGGAACCGTCTGGTTTAATCAAGGAACCTAAAGAAGCTATCCTAACCCTATCCCGCCCGTACTTTTGCTCAAGAACCGGCAACGTGGAAGGCGCCATGCGACCAAGAGCCTCTTCCTCTGCAAACTTCTTCTCAAGCTGATCCGATGTTTCGTTTGCCGACGAATAGTTCTCGCGATGCCACTCGGCATCCGATTCATCGAGCTTGCGGGACTTGTGTTTGTACTCGTACACCTGTGGCAAGTGAGGCGCGGGGCAGTCATAACCGATCGCGACCCCGCTGACATAGGAGTCCTCCTGGCAAGAGACGGCTTTCCAATCTGGGTCCTGCAACAGCCGAGCCGTCGCAGACACAGCATGCAAGAAGAATGGCTGGCCACTCGGCACCACATCAAGATCCGTACACTTGGCTCCCGAAGCAACCTCTATGCAACTAAACCAATCCTTCCTAAGGACCCCTAACATCTCGGGAGTGAAAGGCGATTCCTTAAGGCGGCCTAGCGCAAGCTCCATCGCCGTGCGCTTGATATCAGGCACAACGTCCGCTGCAAAGTCTCGAAGCACTTGATGCATGGCAGTGGCGAACTCCAAAGCCTGCTTGGGCAGCAGGCCCCCCCTGGCTTCCGGAGGCCATCTAGTGGGTGAGCAGAGTCCAAAGCCATCCGTGATCGGCTGAGTTTTGCCATCCCACTCGAGGTTCAAAGGCAGCCCGATGTTGTGGCACTCCTGATGCTTGAAGGGCTCCGGCCTTTCGACCTCACCCCCCTCCAGCACCTCCGAATCATCTGACTGGACCGCCTCAAGATCAACACTGTGCTCTTCGCCCGGAAGGACGAAACCATGACCGCGAAGAAACGCGAGATCCTCATCGCATGCCTGAGTATGCTCCGATACACTGAAAGCTATGATGACTAATCTCTTACCTTTCCAGGGCATTGTGAGGTGAAGATCGCGGTAGGCATGTATGTAGGTGGGTGTCTCACTGATCGGAAGAAGGTGACCACTTAAGCGCTTACCGTCAACAATCTGAACAGACTCCCCATCCTGGGCCTCGACCCAGATCTCTCCTCCTACGAAGTCAGTAACCCCTATTATCCCATTGGGCAAAGGTGCGTTCCTGGAGTCTTTGTGGGGCTTGGTGCCAGTGTTAAGGTAAAGGCTAATCGTGGTAAAGGGGTGCCCGGGCATGTTGCTACGCACGAAGGATGCCAAAGCTTCTGTGGAAGCCGGGAAGCCTTTGCACGCGGACCTGAGCCCGATCAGGCCTCCACCCTTCCGGTACAAGCCTGTCGAAAAGCTGCTAGGAACCCAATTAGAGGACACCGCCGACCTAGGCGGAGTCTCATGCGGCAGCAGTTTGAAGAGAGCATGGACCTCGGCCCGAGTCGGGGCTCTCGATGAAGAAATGATGCGTGCGAACTCCTCGGCTTCAACTTGTTTCTTAACCCCCCTAGGTGCTGCCTTCGGCTGCGGTTGCCCCGAAGAGTCTGGCCCCGAAGAGTCTGGCGACGGCAACAAAGTGGAAGGAGGTGCTTCCGACTCGATCAAGCCAACCGCCTCTACCCTATCAGTAACCGCCTCTACCCTATCGGAAACCACCTGGTGCAGCCCCTGCGGCACTTCACATAAATCCTGATGCACCTCCTGCGTCGCCTCGTGGGATTCCTGCATTGGACCTGCCTCACCTGGAACGGAGCTGTGCGGCGCTGACCCAAGTCCCCCCTGCGAAGCGGAAGCAAGCACAGCATGCGCAAGCCACTCACACAACAGAGGAGGATAGGCTGCTGATGACTCGGTCGCCCAGCGGGAGCCTTCTCGGCCTGCAAGTACTTTGGCATGTTTCCCGTGCGGGCAGCGTGGCGGCAACGGCCCCACGTAGCGATCACTGGAGTCGAAGCGTGGCCAGGAAGCAAAAGGCGGAGGCTGCTCGACAAAGGCCCGTAGATTAGTGAGAAGGCGTGTGGGTTTGGAAGTGGGAGCCTCAAAGCTGCATTGAAAGAAAGCAAAAGTGATGGCCTGAGTGGAAACCTGGAGCTCACGCAGAGCTGGTAGCTGCCAGATGGAAGCCGGTAACTCTTGATCCGGCGTTGCGCCGAGATCCTCCGGGTGCTCCAGGACATACTGCCATGCAAGTTGACATGCCGTCACGGTCTGATCAAGAAAATAATTAGCCTGCTCCACCTGCTGCGCGTGCAAATTGCTTAACCATGGAAAACCTCTAGGATAAAATGCTGAACGTAGTGGCTTTGGCCCGGGGTGGCGATGCCGGACTCTGGAAAATGTCTCACAAGGAGGAGAGGCAATGAGGATCCAATCCCCTTCGCCAAGCAATTGAAAGATGTGCTGCCACAAGCCTTCCTTAGTCAAGTCATGCTCCGTGGAGCGCTGAAGATCGAACTGAAGAAGATTAGTGACATTGCCCAATGACTGAAGGTAAGAGCCCACATCACCTTTGCGATGGGGCCCCGCGAAAATGTAGAGCACACGAAGCCCGCTCGGACTGTACAGCTGAGGCTGGTAGGCGATGTGATCTGATGTCTCAATGGTAGAAACCGAATCATGCGATAGTCACTCCTTGGGCTTGCTGGTCTTAAGCTTATGCTCGGTCGCTGAGTGGGGCTGATAACAGCCCTTGACCCGGCACACATGCAAGCGTTCGCATGAAGGATTGGTGCAGCCCTGCGAGTTGAATGCAAAGCAAATGTCGCGGCCCTCCGGCGTGCGCCAAACCAACTGAAGGCCCTTAAGAGCCGGGTCCGCTTTTGCCGTTCTTGCCCCCCTTGGAGTCTTTGCCCTTGCCGCCCTTTCCTGTCTTGCCTCCGTCCTTGCCATCCTTGCCCTTGCCCTTGCCTTTGTGCCACTTGCGTGGTCGCTCAATGATGGACAAGGCGAGCGGCGTCGTGAAGTAGGTCTCCTTAAGCTCCGCTGAAGAAATGACTGAAGCCAGAGCGCCTGCCAGAGTATAACCCTGATCATTGACCAGACGGAAAGCTTCCTTGCGCAACCGGTGCTCATAGGCCAAGACTACTTCCCAAGGTGGCGAAAGTGAAGGCACATCGGCTGGCTGATGAGACGTAGGCACTGAGAGCTGAGCGACCTTTTCGCCAAGGATGTAGTTCACGAAGTGGTCGAAGTCAGACAGCTTAAGATCCTGAAGCCACTGCTTGGATTTAAAGCGGGATGCCATGCATAGCCACGTGAAAGCTTCCACGCGAAGGACCTTGCGATATGCTTCTGTAGTAGTCGGGAGCTCGCTCTTGGATTTGTGCTGAGTAATATGAATTCGCCCCGAAGCGTCCAGGCTGGACTGGATGCTCGTGGTGAGCGTGTTCTTCTTCGAAGTTATGGCATCCAAGGTTGAAGCCTGAGGCTCATTGGCTTCGCACTCCTCGCACTTGAGAGCGAGGTACTCAGACGATGGAGTCTCCGACTCTCCCAGCTGCCCGTGAACGGCCGCTACCGCCTTGAGCATTGCTTGCCTCTCTGTGACTTGCAAGATTCGCGGCTGGCCTAACACTTTCGCCTCTGCTCGTGTTTCCGTCTCTTTGCTGATTACGTCGCGTGCAAGTTCCCATGCAGCGACGACCCCCGCGATTTGTTGTCGCCCGTCAGCAGCCCCATCATCAAGACCAAAGTCCGCCTTCCCAGCAGCCCGAGCTTCCGGCCGGGAATCGGCGATTGCCTGGAATCGCCTAAGTGTTGTGTGTCGTTGCACAATGCGATACTGGGCATCCAGAGACAAGCCAGCTTCTCCGAGCACAAACTGCAAATCGCTATCTGCTTTGGTTATGAGCTCGCGCTTCTCGGCATCTGTGGCGGCCATTGCGACAACAGTAACTAACTCCCGCTACTCCTGATGCGAAGGCCGCGCCCCGGCCTGTGGCCCTGTAGGACTTGGATTGCTAGCCGCCCTGAGGCCTTTAGCTGCACTGCGATGTGTCCACCCGTCGCCCTGAGGCCTGTGACAGGATGCGGAATCCGCCGGCACCTCACGGCCTGCGCCGAGTGAGACTTCCTCCTGCTTGAACAGCGCCAGCACGTGCACTTCATCAGCATGAACTGTTATCGCGAAACAACTTCAAGATGCCCTGAGAAAAGTCAGCATGGACTGTTATCGTGGATCTACTTCAAGGCGCCCTTGCATAAGCAACTCATGCCAACTTCTGGCTAGGACTTGCAGGGCACAGCCTATCCACAGCAGTCGAAAGCATCTTTTGCCTTCACATCGACTCGCTCCCACTGTCACTGCTGGAGGGGTCTGATTCCTCCTCTCCGGCCTGAGCCTTCATTCTTGCTTTGCAATCTTTGCAAATGTTATCGACGTCCTCCGCGCCGACATGACTGACAAATTTCACATCATAACAATTCTCAGGCTTGACATAGCAGCCCAACATGTGCAGACGCCTCAGGCCTGTGGTGCGAGAGGTAACGATGAAGTAATCCCCCCGGCTGCCTGGCATCGAAACCTGCTCGACTGGAGAAGGTGGTGCCGCAACACCCACTTCCAATGCCAGAGTTGGCCACGACCCGCCCAAGCCTTTGGATCCCTCGAGGAGGGTGTGACGGCGACGAACCTGAGACTCGCTCTCCCCCGCCTTAGCTGCATAGTCCGTCAAAGCCTTGATGGAATCCACCTCGATGTAGTGCTTTGGCTGTCCGGTGACAAGGGAACAAGCAATGTGACTCTGGAGACGATGCACAACCTGCCTAGAAGTGCGAATGTAGGTTGCAGAACCTTCGCCACCTACCTTCCAGCGACCCAGATAATCAAGCTCCCTGGGGTCGACATCGATGGCCGCTCCGACCGAGCTAAGGAAGTTCCTCGCAGAATGTCCCGTAAAATGACTGGAAGTGTATCCCGGGAGCAGCGGACGCTGATCATTGGCCTTCCATGTGCGCCCCTCACGCTTGGGCGTTTTCAACTCACTGAGAACTTTGCGGAAGTAAAGGGCCACCGTGGAGGAAGGCACCGACTTCTCCAGGGGTTCCGTGAAACCTTCATTGGCCTTCAAAACCAGATAATCCCTCTCAAAATCGAAATCCTTCCAAAGTGCATATCCGACCTTCAGCCAATCATGCCCTGTCAGAGAGATACTCCGTTCCACGAAGACCTTGACGGTGTGGGTCCTTTTGTCGGGCCCTGTAGTCTTGGACCGCGCGAGATCAATGCTAAGCCCTCGCTCGTCCAGAAGCATGGTCTGCGGCAAGAGCCCCTGAACATCATCAGCCCGAAGCGATCCCCAAACCATCAATAAGCAGACAAAGCCCAATGCTCTCAAGTAACTAGGCTCCCCGGGCGTGCAAACGAAGATCTCACATGCAAGAACGATAGCAACAGTGAGCATGCTGGCTGGCTGCTCCGGCGGTGCCGCCGAAACCAAATCGGCCGTGTAACTTTTGAGCTGCGCCTGCCATGTGGGATCCTGAGATATCTGCTGCGTAGACGGCACGCGCCCTACACCTTCAATTACACTGAGAGAGGCTTGCAGGCTTTCGAGAACTGTCTTTCCACATCCTTCCTGGAATCGTTCATTGGCATAATCTAGCACATCAGCTACCCCTTCCGGATAGCTCCTGCCACGGCTATAAAGCAACCATTCCCGAAACTTGTCCCAAGCTCTAAAGCGATTTCTCAATGTCTTGGATCGACGGGTCCCGAACAGCCGTGGCCAGGCTTCCTCGGCATTGCTGACCCCTGCAAGCACCTTGCACACCGGCAGTTGCGCCTCCTGCATGACGGCTGCAAGACGCAATGCATACTCCTGCCGAAGCCGTATCTCCTCAGTGGCCCTGGCACCGCGATCTACGACCCTATCAGTAGCTAACTTCCGCTTGCGAAGAACCGGAAGCAACGCAAGTGGACTCTGAAGTGCAATCTGATTGTAATGCTCATGCAAGCTAAGGCCAGTTCCCGGGACACTGGGCAAGCACTCTGTCAAGCGCCTCCTTGATTCCCTGCGCCCACTCGCAACTGTGCGAGCATTGTCTGCATGCCATTCAAGAAGTGCATCCGCAATCAACTGCAGGCTACTTTCAAGAAGCGTGTTATCGCAAGCCCTAAGCAATGATACAAGCTCTTCCCTCGTGTCGAATGAGGCATGCAATTTCTCAGGCGTGCTAAACCACTCTTCAAGGCGGTTGCGGTATGGTGGCACTAAAGCGGGCCATCCGAGTCCTGTGCCACTCATGGCCGACCATGGGCCGCAGGGCCACCCTTCTACCGCTTTCGTAGTCCTAAAGTATGGAGCTACCGTGAAGCTAAACTGTCCAGTCATGCGTCACAACGATGCTTGTGAATGCTAGCCCCATACAATCAAAATTTTCCCTGCTCCTGAGCCTGAGCTCTGCGTCCATGATAAGCATTGAGATTGTGCGCGCACTCAGCTTCTGGCTCCATTCTGAAAAGCGCACGATACGTAAATAAAATAGAAACTCAAAACTGCTCAATAAAACTTTTCTCTTTGAAACTGCGGAGATCTTCGAGTTGGTCCATTCGAGGGAACTCCTCCTACCCACAGAGACACCCCGCCCCGCCCACCCAAAACGTTTACTCTAAACAGCGCCGCCGGGCAAGCCCGGCAGGGCAGAGTCCGGGACAACCAGGCGTACGCGGAAAACCTGAAAATTTTGATCAAGAAAAACTGCACGTTCAAGAGCACTCAAGATCAATCACCTCCTGGCCAGAACGAAGTTGCCTGAAGGATCGGGGCACTCGCCTGACCGGCTGGTATGACCTGACTTCCTCAGCTCGCAGCACTACCTCGTAGGAATACCGCAGAAACACTTCCAGAAGGTGTGTGTCAAGTGCAAGCAGCTTACAAGCGTATGCAATGATCTCAGCAGCCACGTGCAATCGGTTAAGGCGATGCTGATGCAGTTGCCTCAGCTGAACCTGCCTCTTGCCAAAGGAGTACTCAGACAAAGATGGCGTACGAGGCTTTTGCAGTTGCAGCTCTGTATAAAGCTCGATAGCACGTTCCCTCAAGGATCGAAGCTTCTCACGGCTGTCCCAGCACACGGACAGGCCTGACTCAGTGGTCTGAGCCGATGCTTCGGCTCTGCTATCTTGCGATATGGCGACAACCAGGGAGCCTCACTACAGAGGGAGCCTTTCTACGACGTGGGGGCACTACGAGCTACAGCTAAAGGCCTCGAAGGTCCAAAGAGCGCACTAGCGCTCCGCTACCATGAATGTTTTCCTTGATTCTTCAAACACCTACGAATGCACGGAATCAGCATACAATGCAAGGCGACGGTTAAAAGCACATCATGAAAATGAGACATGCGAAAAATAAAATTGGGAAAAGTGAAATCATTTCTCCACCACCCAAAACTGGTACACCACAGGTGCACTCAATCACAAACACAACGGGCTTGGCGATGAGTCGCGCCAACGTGCGCAGTTGAACCTCACCTTTGCCGCCTCCAGCAGGCTGTCGTGGGTCGCCCGTGCGGATGACGAGCTGGCCAGCTGCATTAGCAAGGATGGCAGCCGAAGCAGGCTGTCCCTCCTGTTGCCCCTCATCAATGACGATGACATGCGCGTTTTTGCTGTAGAAAAACTCAAAACCCAAATTCAAGCGAATATAAGTTGCACTCACTCCGTAAGTATAAAAGTCAATCAACTCATATCGTATCGCATCACTCGGACCCTTCTTTTCTTTCAGGGGGCGCACCGGGTTGCCCGGCCTTAGGCCGCGGGCTAGGCGCACTGCCAACATGCCGTTCGCATGTTGGGCCAACTTAGAGCACAGCCTACGGAGTGTTGCACAACTGGAATCGCAAGATCGGCCCCAAGCGATCTGAAGTCTCGACGGGTGTGGCGGGAGGGTAGTCGAGACCCATCTCCCACTCTTGAGCAGCAATGTAACACGACGTGGACATTTCACATGCTCTTCAAAGAAATTTCTTCTCTCAAGAAATCACTGCTCGAAAATACATTGCTTAAAGTGGGAGAGGCAGCACACGGGTTAGGGCATTAAGGTTTTTGAGTTTTCTTCGCTCGCCGCCACGGCGGCTCGTCACGAACGCAAAAAGGTACTAGCTGTCGTCGCAGGCTAGACAGCAAAGGTACTTTTTGCTGTAGAAAAACTCAAAACCCAAATTCAAGCGAATATAAGTTGCACTCACTCCGTAAGTATAAAAGTCAATCAACTCATATCGTATCGCATCACTCGGACCCTTCTTTTCTTTCAGGGGGCGCACCGGGTTGCCCGGCCTCCCCAGAAAGTAGCAACACGGTACGTTCCCACTCAAGACCAGAGATTACAAGTCGACCAGCGGGATGCCCGAGATGGGGCATGAGCACTTAACTCGTAATGCACCCGAATCAACAAGTGCTCTGAACTCACCGCGTGACGGGTCGTCTGAAGGATTGGATGCGGAAGGGACCCTTGTCCAGTATGTCCACGATGGACCATGTTTCTCACAGCATTCCCATGTGAGAAGCAGCTCTCGAAAGTGATCACTGTTAGACGTTCCTCGCACAAAGCTGAGAAGGACAGCGTCGTTGTCAACGAAGAAAAGGCAATACTGTCCAGACATGTACTGGTGGAAAGCCTTGCGTGCCAGGGCGACAGCGTACGCCTCAACGGGTCCGATAATATGCTTCAGATGCTGCCTCCATCGATCTGCCAAGGCACAAGGAACTTCACAAGAAAAGAATCGGGGCCGCGCATCAGAAGGAGAGTAAAGAATACCTCCAACGGTGTTGCCAGACTGTTCACTTGCTCCGTCCGTGAAGATCAAAACAGGCTTAGGGGCAACCACACAAGGGACTACCCTAGGGGAACCGAAAGAGAGGCGATCAATGAGAAACTCGAAAGCCTCGATCTCGCGGGGACCCAGAACAAACCGGGAGGCGTGGCGTGTGGAAGCGGCTCTCAGCTCCGCCAATGCGAGCTTTCCGGTTCTCCCCATGACTTGCGCATCGGAGAACTGGACACGTCCTGCAACCCTGGCAAAAGTACGCATCTTGATGCAACCTTCACTGATGCATTCACGGATGGCATCACACACCTCACTGGATCGGCCTTCCTTGTTCCTAATCCGAATGACACCTTCCCTGGCTCCTTTCAAGTCAATCTCGACCCCAAGCATGGAGGCGACGTCTGCAAATGGGTTCAGTTTGTCAAGGGATGCGGAAAAACCAAGCACTGAGGACAACACAAGCAAGGTGTCCATGGTGGAACCTGACAGACAGCACGGGCTCATCACTGGATAATCGTCAACGAAGTTGGCCCAGAACAGGAAGACTTCCAAACCTATCCGCCACAGCAACCTAGACAACCTGTTGAAGTGGAGCACGGACGATGTGCTTCCAAAAGGCAGAGCCTTACCCTCAAACAATCCCAAGTCGCCATTATCCGGATTGAGAAGGGCAACGACGGAGAAGGCACGATGGCTCGGGTTCAACGCAAATTGGCGATAAGCATTCTTCAAATCAAAGGTGCACAGCTCAGGACACCACGACGAACCCGCCCAAGCAGGGTGCACTCGACCAACCAACGGTGGTCCGCTGGCCATGTCCATAAAGAATTGATGCTCCGTCGTGTGAGCTCGGATCCAAAAGCGACATATTGCAATGATCTCGTCAAGTGCCCTTAGATCTAGCTTATCCCCATAAGAAAAAGAACCATTAACTAAGTTCTCGGAGTAGTCGTCAATCGGTCTCAACTTGCGCTTGCCTCCAGAAGATTGAATCACGGCGAACCGGCGCACAGGGGCCCATGCGTCGCCGTACCTTCTCGTCAGCTCTTCTTCGGTAAGTGGTCCCTCCAAGAACCCTTCGGCAACCTCAGTCAAAGTCTTATCCCACAGTTCCGAGGAATGCTCATTCAAACCCTCGGACAAAACCTTACCCAAAAGCGCCGGACGAATGTACTTACAGGCCTTAGTAAACTCGTCAGCCGTCCTCTCCTGGGGACGAGGCTCCTTTCTAAAGACACCAGTGGGCTTCTGCCAGCCAACCAAACCAAAACCCTTACAAGTATCCTCAAACCATCCATCGTCGGGCCACTTCAAGTCATCAGCAATGCGTTTGAGCAAGAGAAGCCTCTTTGATCCTAACACAGACCTCACACCAGGTTCGAGGTCCTCCTTAAGTCGGGACTCTGGTTCCTCCAACTCCCTGGCCCATTCTAACCACTTGTTGAGAGTGGCCACACGTTGTCTACCAACCCACTCAGGGCCCTTCACCAAGGCCTCATGAAGCTTTCGTTTCACTTCGTCGGGGATGACAGCAAACGTCTCGAAGGGATGCCGTAATCCTTTGGCCTCCTCCAAAAACTCATCCGGTGTTGCATACACACCAACACTAAGTTCGAAGCCACCCGACTCCCCCGTCTCCTCAGTGGCGAGAAGTTTGGAGCCTGCGGGGATGTCACCGATGGCGTGCTGCAAGCAATTTTTATGATCCACAGGCGGAATCTGTGGCACACGACATCTGCAAACGCGACCAAATTCTCTGATGAGGCTCGCACCAAGTTTACCCCGACGCTGCTGTGTGACAGGCGGAGGGCTGGACTGCAGCGGAGACAAAAGGGGGTCAACGCCACAGTGTTTAGCCACGGCGTGGGCAACCTGCTGACAGAAAAGCCTGGGATGAGTATCAACACCGCCAGTCACAGGCGTGTGACTATGATTACCATGGCACACTTGTTGTAAACACTTGAGTGCACTACAAGACGTTAGCAGTTGCCTCCGCAAGCGATGCGGAGAATCGAAGGCACACAAATCGTACACCACGGTAGTGGTGTTGGTGAGCTGGCGCACAGCAGGCATATGCCACAGGAAGCTGGACTGCGGATGCTCAATGGACCAAGCGATGCCCATTTGTTGAACTCGTTTTAAGAAGGTGATGACATGTTCCAACAAGGAGTCGGCCAATGCGAGCCTTTGAACCTGAGAGGCGTCGGCGCCTCCTACAGGAACGACAGATCCATGGGACAGTCGTCGGAGGCCCTGCTTGGGTCCATAGGTGGCATACAGCAGATCAATGTGCACGTACCGAACATGATAATTGTCAAGCACATGCGAAAGATACTGCCACGAGCTCGGCAAGGCAAGATCCAGTGAGCACAACTTGGCCAACGGAAGCCGGTGACTTCCCCTATCTATGGGCATGACCTCAAAGCCAATCTGGTGAAAGGCTCGGGACAAAGAGCCTGCACGGGCAAACAGCTCGAGC